CTAAGGGCTCTCCACCTTGAACGAGTCACCGCGAGGAGACGAAGCCGCAACTCGACGAACCAGGGACTCCAAAGCGGTGCTTCCAGGAAAGAAACGACACTGAAGAGCTACCACAGCCCGATCCAGTGAATTGAGGTTTTCACCTGGAGTAACACAAAGGACGCAGGGCCACCACGATGGAGCCTTCAAGAAGGGAGCAACGCATGGACGCCGCCGTCATCGGTCTGGCCCGGTACGGGCCTACAAGAGAGCGCCGGCCGCACCACCACCGTAGAACGTCGAAGAACCGCTCCCATGCCGCCCACGCTGCCATGACAGCAAGCCCGTCGGCGCCGAGCCACGAGCTCCGCCCACGAGCCCGCAGCTCCCGCCACCAAGGCTGACGCCTTGCATCTAGACACTCCGGAGACCATCAAAGGCATGAGCTTTGAGCCGACCGGCAGATCCGTAACACCATCCGAGCCGCCGGTGACCGACCCGCCCCGAACAGCGGTCAGCAGCCAGGAGTCACTAGGCCAGGAAAAGGGGAGGAGGGAGCGGAGCTTATCCGGACTGGCGCGCCCCTGCGCTGGTGACAGGCAGTCGGTCTACCCGTCCCTCTAGCAGCCTCTCCTGCGTCACCCCTGGCACCCTACCATTGCCTCCGGCCAGAACCACGCGAGGAAGAGGCATCCACCCGCCCGCCTGCGAGGGCCGCCGGATCGACTGCACCCTGCCGCCGAAGAAGGCCTCTGGAGGAGCCAGCGCACTAACCGCACCACCGCCGTGTCGCCGGGACGTCCCGTCGCCAGGCACCGTCGCCTGAGCCGCCCACCGGTCCACGCCGTCCTCGACCCGCATCACAAAGGTCCAGATCAGAGCCAGCCGTTGACCCAGACCCCAGCATGCCTTTGTCGCGTCGCCCATCACGCCGCCGCCACGAATCCTACGCCATCACGCCGGTCCACGCCGTCCTCGACCCGCATCACAAAGGTCCAGATCGGAGCCAGCCGCAGCCGTTGACCCAGACCCCAGCATGCCTTTGTCGCGTCGCCCATCACGCCGCCGCCATGAAGCCGATGCCATCTGGCTCCAGCTCGCCGCTGCGCCCGCCGCGCCCGTCGCCAGCGCCGCATCCCAGGTGGCCGCCTCGACCCGTGCTGATGGCCCCCACCGAGGAGACGAGACAGCCTCGCCCCGCCAGCGCGCCCTCTGGCGGCCGGGAGGGAGAGGAGAAGGGAGGAGGGGGGAGGGCTCGCCTGCGGCGGCGCTAGGGTTTCTCCCGTGACGCGCGCGCGGGGCTCATAGCGGGTGGGAAGGGGGGGATGGATGGTCTTCTCAAAGAATCTTAGTCTTGATGGACAACTTCACATCGGTTTCCTAGATTTGCGTGAACAAAACTTGCAATGACTGGATACTGCATCTAGTTTCCTTATTTGTACATGTTGACAACCAATCCATTGCGATTAGGGGCGATGCAGCAAAGTGTGCTCCTCCACCTCCTGCCCAACCTTACACCGGTGATGCCGCAGTCCCCTGTCTTTGCTTGTGCTGCCCACGTCTATGCAGCAGAAACAGAACCGGGCGACGAAGGCGTGCGTTCCCTTTTAGTTCCTTATATGCCACTTATTTTTTTCGCATTTCCTAATTGGTTGTTAGAAAAGGTAACCCATGCTAAGCCAGCCTGATCCAGTAATGATCGGCTCCCCTGAGGTGTCCCTGCCTTTGGTCCCCAGCTGGTGCGACCCGGGAGGAGAAATGCGTGTTTTTTTGGCATGTTTGGCTTTGCGCCTCGGCCTCCTTCTGGTGGTTACCCGTCGGCATGTGTACGGACGAAGGAACGACCGATGGAGTTGGCAGTGGTGCGCGCGACTTTGGCCGTCAGGCTTCGTGTGCCAGGCTACCACATACCTCCTGCCCACATGATGGACCATCTTGGGTTTCCGTCGTGTTCCGGTGATGGTGGGGTTGTACCTCAGATCAGCGCAGGTATTAGCACGCTGGACATCTGCGTTGGTGGATCTGATGTCTCAGCAAATGTTCCGGTGCTGATTGGGACATTACAGCAGGACTTCTTTGTCAAGTTGGTGGCGGCAACAGAGAGGACTTCGTCTATGGTGGTGCTCTTCGAGTACCAGGTCTCCTTTTCCGGGGTGAAAACCTTAGTTCTGACCTTCACTGATTGTACTTGGCAGTGGCATTACGCCCCCTTGTTGAAGGCACTGCCGGAAGCTTACTCGGACTTTCTCTTCTGGGTGAGAACCCACATGGTTGGATCCACCAACAATGGCGTTCATGCACCTTTTCCTTGCTGAAGACATTGCTGTTGGGGAACCTTCTCGTCGCCTGGGTGTTGTCAGAAGCGGTGGTAGTAGTTGATGTTTTGCTGCAGTGGGTCGTTTGCCTCGCCCTGACCCCTGTGGGTCACTTTCTTTTTCTTTTCCTTTGTTTGGCTTTGTGCATCCTAGTCGCGTAGAGGCCAGGTGTGTACTTGTTTTGTTTGTTTCCCCTTGAAGTGAGATTATGTGTCAATAAAGAGCGCCCTTTATTGAAAGAAAACTTTCTATGCTACCCAATTGAAATTTTGGCTGTCGTGTGTCACTGTCACAGCCCTGTTTGGCCTAGCTGCTGTTAACCCTTGAAAAGTTCTCAGTTTCTTGTCAAATACCAATCTTACCCTAAAAAAATGTTATGGTGCATGTCATGTCCCCCATCCTGTCCGTCTTCTTGCTTATGCACTCCAAAGATCTTGGAGTGCTGCCATCTTATCCGATCCAATGAAGTCAGGCTGGCCAATTGACGGTGGTCTGGTGGAGGTTGTAGGTGGCACACTCTCCTTTTGCAGTCCACTTCACAGAAGGCTGGAAGTGGCACGAAAGGGACCAAAAAGTGAACTCAGTGGCATAGTTTCAAAGGTTAGAAAAGGCGTTAGGCATTAATTTTGCGTTTTGCCACCGCCTTGTGCTTTTCTGGCCAAAGTGCACATTAAGTGCTAAGCGTTTTGCTATCGACTAGAGCCTAGGCGTGCTTAAGCGCTCACCTAGGCGCACCTTTAGTAACTATGAATTTTTTCCTTGAGGCATATCAAGAAACAACTTCCTGTTTCATTTAAGAAACTTCCGAATAAATTTTTATTATTTAAAACTGGATGCTGACATGATATTTTCTCCTTCTTTAGATTGCTGCAATGTTCAAGATAGGTAACAGCAAGGAGCTTCCACCAATACCGGACCACCTTTCTGAAGAGGGCAAGGATTTCATACGTCAGTGCCTGCAACGTGATCCATCTAGCCGTCCAACAGCTGTGGATCTTTTGCAGCATTCATTTGTACGAAGTGCATCACCACTTGAAAGACCAGCTGCCTCTGTTCCATTGGAACAGTTGGCTGCTATATCTTGCAAACCAAGTTCTAAGGTACTAATTGTTGAGTGTTAGTGAACAAGGTGTTATTCTTAGGCTAAACAATCATCCTTCTTGTTCAGCAGGCAGATGCGTACAGAAAATTCTGCAAATTTTGTAAATTTAGGCAGTCCCAGTTTATTCTCCTTACATTCCTTTCATTTGTTTCACCTTGTCCCTCGAATATAATTTTTTAGAAGGGTCGCACGGATATATTTTGCCGAGTGATCTACTTGATTATTGAAGGCCTCATTTGACTCTTGTTGTTTTATTTTTAATATTTCATCTGCATGGCTTATATTTTGTGTGTTTCTTTTGATATTCCAGGTGGTTGGGCAGGCCAAAAATATGCCCTCTTTGGGCTTGGAAGGGCAATCCATTTACCAAAGAAGAGCTGCCAAGTTTTCTTCAACAAACAGGTGAACCATTCAGCATTTACTGCATTCACGTGCTTTGGTGTGTGTCTGAATCTGGCGAGTTGATCCACTTTGATCCAGTAGAAAGCCCAGTCAGTCATAGAATAGGAAGATTCTAACGTTAAAAAAAGATGCTTCTAAACGTTAAGGGGTGCTCAACCTTCCACTCAAATCCTTCTTACCAGAAGGGAGCTTGCTGCCCTAAATGAGCAGTGACCAATATATATCTGTTGGGAGATGTTTCACCCTGAAATATGATCTGAAGCAATCATTTTCATAGCAGAACTTTTTGTTCTAGTTTGATGAGGGATAAATTAGGTAAATTTTCAAAACAAACTATCGCAATTAACACCAGTATTCCATATTTTACTGAACTACTATTTTCTGCTACGTACTTTATTTTAACAGTTGCCTTCACGTACTTCCAGTTTGCAAATTAAGACGTACTGCACCGTAGATAAAAAGACCAATGTATGAAATTACACACACAAACAAATAAAAATACTTGATTGTACTTGATTTTCGTATTGTTGTCCCTCCTTTTTGATTTATGTAAACTGCAATAGACTCCATTATAAACAGTGACGCAGTGTAAAAGAAAAAAAAGCTATCACTTGAGCAGTATATAAAGCTATTACATCGCTGTTGCATTTTTCCCTGCAGTCTATTTTCGACCACAACTTAGTTCTGTACTTTTTGTCAGAAAACATGCACCCGGTGATTTTTCTTTATATCTGCATAATAATACCTGTCCTCTAATTACTGGTGCTCTGCAGTGGGATTCATATTTGGAGTAATACATCTTGCCCAGTTTCTCCGTGTGGAAGCCCTCTTCTAAGGTCAAGATCCCCACAACATCAAAATGGTAGAATGTCACCATCTCCAATTTCTAGCCCCAGAGCTACTTCTGGTGCTTCCAGTCCTGTGGGAGGTGTCCATGGAGCTATTCCGTTTAGCCATGCCAGACAACCAGCTTACAGCAATGAGGGATTCACAATTGCACCGAGAGGCCTTGATAAAAACTTGCCTACCAGGCCTCCGGATCCGGTCCTTGGTCATTTTGGTAGAGCGCAGCAATTCTCGACAGGCACTCAGGAGAGGGTGATCTCTGAATGTGACATTCTGAGACCTCAGACTGGAAAAATGAGACGGCTCAATGTGCAAGATTTGAATGCTACCACATTGCCTTCCAAGCATGTTTCTCAGCATGGCTCTGGGAGTCACGTGAGGCTAAAACCTTCACTGGACTTGACATCTGGTAATCAGCGCCTTGTGCGCAACCATGGTCATTGATTCTGAAGCAAAGGTTGTGCGATAGCGTTGAGTCGAGTTTGATGAGATATCTCCAATGCTAGTTTGCCCATCTCTCTGTTAAGACCTGGAATTGTATCATAATACAATAAGGATATCAAACTAATTATTACAGATGCTGACAGTTGACAATTCATAGACTCTCCAAAGTGATTTCCATTATTTCAACTAAAGGTACGTCCCTTGTCAGAATTCCTGAGAATTATCAGTCAACATTTATATATTTTCACGAGTTTGAGTAGGAAGTTTTACATTCGGCCATGTAGAACAAAGAAGTGGCGTACAATATTTACAGCATCAACATCGTTTGCACCTTCACGGGCTATATGATACGTATATGTTACCAATGAGTGACTTATTACCATCAGTGCTTTTATTTTTCCCTGGTTTATTTAAGGCACATAATCTTTGATGTATAAAACATGACTAGCTCAACACCTTGTTTACTCTTGGTACCGCATTAGTTGCTAAACTGTTACTCTACAAGTTACTGTCGGTAAAATCCTGAAACAATGGCCTGAGATTCAGGAATCAAATCGGTCGAGCTATTGTTACATATTCATCATTTTCTCTCATGGAGAGCTCCAACATCACCCTCTAGACTTCAGTTTTCAATACATTTTGTAGACATTGAATCCTGTCTTTGTCAGAGTCCATGTCAACTAACGTTGCGTTCCTAATTTGCAGATGAGACTTGCCCTATCAGAAAGAGGCGTAGACTGACTACCTGGTCTGCAATTGTACATTAGAGCGTCTTCTACATGAAATGATCCAAAATTTGTGGTGCTGCTGTGCCCGTATCTGCTTCGTCTTTTCCGTCTTATTATTATGTGGTTCGGAGGCCATTGAAAACTCCCTTGCCTTGTACAAAAGGAACCTCACATGAGAGCGCAACTGAGCCGTCCAGTTAAGTTAATTATCACCCAGATATTCCATGTACCCTGGAGATTGTACAAAGATTTGGATGTTTCATCAAACTTAACAGCATCAAAAGTCGTTCATCTATCATTTCTTGTTTGTCGTGTTGAGCTGGTTTGGCGAAGTTGTTGGTACAATTTCTTGTTTCTCGTGTTTAGCTGATTTGGTGAAGCCTGCTCCCTGTCCCGGGGGGCGCGCCGCGCTTTTCAGTTTCAGCTCTTGCGGTCGCGCAATGTATATGGCCTGCCCTCCTGAGTTTATGCGGCTTGTGCTTGCTATAAGCTTGTGATTTCCAAATTGGGCATATGAACTGAAATGTTTCTCTTACTGAACACGGTAGTTGTAGCTTGTACCATTGTGTGGCACGCCTTCCATGATCGTCATTCCACACAGTCTAGAGACCCCACTCCACGATGGAAGAAGGGAACCGCCAGCTCCGGCGATCCAGCCAAGCACGGCTTGATGTTGCTAACTTCATATGCAGTATGCATGCTACAGGTTAGAGCATCTACATCTGGACTTGGCAAATCCACCCTCTAACCTCTAAGGCCTCTTTTGGTTTATAGGGTAGGAAAATCATAGGAATAGGAAAATTATAGGAAATAAGATGACATGTATCTCAAATCCTATGAGTAGGAATAGAAAACGAGATGCTCTTTGATTCACATCATAGGATTTTTTCCATTGAGTCTAGGCTAATGTTTATTTTCCTATGAAATGTGGAGGATAGAAAGAATTCCTCCACAGGAATAGGATTCCATTCCTATAAACCAAAGGGCTCTAAAGGAATTTTTCCTATAGAAATCTTATCCTATGAAATTCCTACAAGATTCCTCTAAACCAAAGGAGGCATAAACGTATGTGGACGCGCCTGGACACAACCCCGGACAGCATTGGACGGCCCTCAAATGTCCTGTACAACCGCACATCTTTATCTTTATCTAATAATAAAGGACGGAGACTTTCATAGTTCTCCATACGTCATCTCTTTATAACCGTTGATTTTATGTTAAAGATAGTTTTTGTCGTGGAATTGTCACGGCAGATGTTCTTATAGAAGGACTTAGTTATGGAGCCATTGCGACGAGGTTAGCTGGGTTAAACGAGATAAAGGACACGGAGAGTTTATACTGGTTCGGCCCCTTGCGATGAACGTAAAAGCCTACTCCAGTTTGATGTGGTATTGCTAGGGTTTCAATTACCAGGAAGCAAATACGCTTTGCCTGACTTTTGATCTGTGTCTCTTGCCCTAAGCCGCTGCCGGGTCGTCCCCTTATATACACGGGTTGACGCCCTGCAGCCTACAGAGTCCCGGCCGGCTCATACAAACGTGTCCGGCTCGGTGACTTATCTTACATGCCTTATAATACAAGTTACATATACATGGCGGTTTATACTCACGGGCCTTAAGCCGCCTCTTGGTTTGGGCCCCTTAAGGCCTTGTACAATGAGAGCTGCTTAGAGAAATAAATCAGTTTTTTCTTAAGCACCGGTGCTTATTTGTACAGGATAGACACTTAACTAAGCGTCTCTCTTGTAAAAATAGGCACCGGTGCTTCAGAAAAACCCGGGTTATTTTTCTAAGCATCTCTCTAAGCACCTCCCATTATACAAGGCCTAACATGCCTACTTCATGAACCGCCATCTTCACATACTTATGGGCTTCGTCTAGATGAACGGCCATTGGGATAACCCGGCCCCTCCTGGGCGGGTCATACCCAATAGTTATATCCCCAACATTAGGCCCCAGGTTGATTTGAACTTATTCATGTCAATCTTCAACACTTAGAAAAAATCCTCCTTCATCTTGTTGTGTTTACCAGTAAATGCCATGACATCATCTCCTGAACTCGCGGCAACCCGCCATGACGTCACCTGTTATTAATGTTACATACGGCCCAAATCTTAATAAATATTTTCCTTTACTGATTCTTCGAAGATCGAGGCGTCCGCGCCGTCACCTATCCGTTTTCTTGTCTCCTCAATTCTCGCGCATGCTACTTATCCTTCTAGCCTTATAAATAGGGCCACGGGTTCACTTCCCATTCTCCTCCTTTGCCTTCTCGCTTCTTCTTCCTCCTCGCGACGCTCCAGCGTGCCCGAGCTCCGCCGCCGTCGCTCTTCGTCTCCTTCGTCGACTCCGGCCGCCGCATCACCCTGAACGGACCAGAACGCCACGACACTCCTCCGCCGTCAACCATCATCAGTAAGTCTTTTGCCTTTCCTCTTCATGGATCTGCGTTAGGGTTTCTCTGTTCGTCGGTGTTCATCACCGTTCTTCCCTTTCTTCGTCCTAGATCACATAGTCTCGATCCGGAAATAGCACAGATCTCACGCGGTAGCAGTTTTAGCACTTATTTTTTGATATCAGATTATATCTTCTTTGTAGTAGATCTCATCTGAGCACCCTCACTCTTATGCTTCCGCCACCTTAGGTTTAGATTTATTCCATTTTTCTGAACAACTGCAGATCCTATTTTATAACTTCAACCCGTGAAACCTGTTTGTCCCAACACTTAGTAAAATTTTGCTCTTGTCAGACCTTGAATGCTAGTACGTGTCATGGAGGCTTACACCTCCGGCCTATAATCACTCATATATCATTAGTCCTCACTTAAGACGACAGTCTCCAACAAATACTTATAACATTTTCCGCCGGCTTAAATGGATTAACTTTAAACCGGAAAACTTTCTTCCTTTTAGGCCTCCCTTTCTGCGATGCCGCCAAAGACAGTTACTACATGTAACTGGGTTCCCTCCATCGTCACTAAGGGTACTTTGAAAGACTTTTTCAAGGTTGGGTATTTACCAGCAAAGAGTGTCATGCATTACCACGCCCCTGATCCAGGTGAAGAAAGACCTCTGCCAAAGGATAATGAAGTGATTGTTTTTACTGATCACATGAACCGGGGCTTCTCTCCGCCCGGTTCTAAATTTTTTCCGAGACGTTCTGCAATTCTTCCAACTCCATCCTCAAGACATCGGACCCAATTCTGTGTCAAACATTTGCAACTTTCAAGTTTTCTATGAAGTATACCTTCAAGAGGAGCCTAGTGTCGAACTTTTCAGGGAATTCTTCTATCTGAACCGCCAAAACGAGTTCACAAATGGGCCCAACTTTGAACTTGGCGCAATCTCGATTCAACGCAGAAGAGATGCCATCTTCCCTCATGCAGTTCTGCCGAGTCACCCTAAGGACTAGAATCAGACGTGGTTTTACTACAAGGATATCTCTCCGGCTGATGAAAATCCATTGTCGGGTTATCGTGCTGAACGTCTTGACCCAAAACATCAACTCCCTGAAAAACTTACCGCCACTGAACGTAAAAAACTCGCCCCCACTACCGCGAAGGTCAAAGCCCTGCTGGGGAACGGGTTAACTGGCATTGATTTGGTCTGATTCCGGGTCTCATGGCGGATCATACCCTTGAGCCGCCGACCCGGTTTGATGTGTACTTATATCGGAGAAACAAATGATCCATTACGCCACAGCTCTTTGCGTTTGACTGAAGAGGCAATTATTGAAATGACAGAAACACTTGTGAATGGAAAATCCGAAGACTACAACAAAGTGGGCCAGAACCCTTTCTGCAAATTTAACCCGCCGCTGATACGTCTCCATTGTATCTACTTTTCCAAACACTTTTGCCCTTGTTTTGGACTCTAACTTGCATGATTTGAATGGAACTAACCCGGACTGACGTTGTTTTCAGCAGAATTGCCATGGTATTATTTATGTGCAGAAACAAAAGTTCTCGGAATGACCTGAAACTCCACGGAGATTATTTTTTGGAAATAATAAAAAATACTGGCGAAAGAATCAAGGCCAGGGGGCCCACACCCTAGCCACGAGGGTGGGGGCATGCCTGCCCCCCTGGGCGTGCCCCCTGCCTCGTGGGCCACCAGAGCTCCACCGACCTCAACTCCAACTCCATATATTCGTGTTCGGGGATAAAAAAAATCAGAGAGAAGGACTCATTGCGTTTTACGATACGGAGCCACCGCCAAGCCCTAAACTCTCTCAGGAGGGATGATCTGGAGTCCGTTCGGGGCTCTAGAAAGGG